GTTTCATATAATATTTACTTTTTATTTTGTTTTATTTCAGCTTTATTTCAATTACCAAAAATGATCTTCATTAAGTTTTAGATTTGGTTAACAAAACACTACTGTATTATTAAAGCCGAACTCTATTTTTTTCAGAGAGGAAAAAACATGTCATATGGCAGGTCATATGGTGTGGTATCCTAAGGCTTACTCATCAGACTGTGGCAAATGAGACACAGGTACATCTCTGCACTTTTACTGCTCTGACTCTAACACGGCTCTGTGTCCTGCTGTGATTCAGCAGTTTTTCTCTGTGCCTTGCGTGATGTCACCAGCCCTGGCACAAAGTGGCATCTCACAGAGTGCCATCACTCTCTGTTTTGGAGGGACACTCTTGTTCACTTAAATCATTTGTTTGATTCAAGAGGCCTGAACACTGTGGGTGGGTGTATGCGTGTATGTAAGTACAGTGTGGTCCAAAAGCCTGAGACTATATTTAACACATGAGGCTATATTAAAGAAACTTCTTGTCTTAATTCTTGACCATTAGAAAAAAGTTATATTTCTAAAGTGAAATGACCCATGGTTACCAATCAATTTAAATTAAGAGAAAATATTAAAGATTCTGCACTATTTTAGGTCACTAATCAAGTAAATGTGTGACACTGATCATTTGATTCTTTGTACAGACAGTCAGATGATCTTCTTCCACTGAAGCACAAGATGCTCTTTGAATCATCTCAAATCATGCAGGAGAACATGATCGTCAGGTTTGACACACTTGTGGAATACTCCACCCAAAAATTACCCTTATGTAATTCCAAACCTGTATGACTTTCTTTCTCCTGTGGAACATGAAGATAGTTTGAGAAATATTTTTTTGTCTATAAAATGACAGTCAGTGGTCTTCTATGCTGGGTTCACACTGTTCCTCAAAATGTATTATTTAAGGCCCCACAGAAGAAAGAAATGCATACAGGTTTGGAACAACATGAGGGTGAGTAAATATAATGTTAATTTTGGGTGGACTATTGGGGAGACATTCTTAAATTCATGTGAATTTTTAAATTTAAATTGTTTGAGCGACAGCATAAATTTGTGTAAATGTAGAGATTCAACAATGGACCAGATGTGTCTCTTCAAATGTTGCTCAAGCCAAATGGTCCAAAATCTAAACAGAGTCTGACAGAAGGGCACGCTCTGTCCTCGTGCGGTTTAAAAGAGAATGGCGAACTCACAAGAGTTTTTGAGCACTGGCATTTGGCAACCATTTGTGAAGCTGTGTAAACGCTGTATTCCATCCATTCCTGTGTGAATGCACACAGAACGTGGGATGGGAGTCTGGCTTAATGTGTTCCATTGTGTGCCGAAGCCACTGAGCATGCGGTTACTGGCTGCCACTCATTGTGGCAGGATTTATGTATCTGTGCCACTACCATTCTCTGTCTGTCTCTTAGTTATTCTGAGTAAAAATGAGGCATCCAAAAATAAGGCACCTTCAAATGTCAAACTGCTATCCGTTAGATTGTTTGTGTTTCATTATTATCAGCCAACCTGATATTTTTGTTACAAAATATGATCTTGTATATTTCTCACCCTCAGCTTGCATCACTGTCCTAAAATGGGAAGAGTGCTATTGCTCCCCCTTATAAACATCCTGCCCATGGTCACAGCACAACTGCGAAAGGGGGGGGGTCTGTGGATTAGAGTCAGAGGCCATCAGTGAGGGGAATGAAGATTATGTATGACGGGACGTAGGGCTTCACAACAGGCCGGCAGGCCCTGACCTGACACCCCAGAATCACAGCAGTCCAGAAAACAGCATGTCATCTTGCCATCTTACAGAGCTTCCCTTTGCCAGCAACATATGATGGCACTGCTGGTTCACCCTATATTTACGTAAAACTTTTTTAAATTGATTTATTTTACTGAATTATAAAGCAGTAATTATTTTTGAAGAAAAAAAAAAGATTTGTATGATGATTTTCATGTTCATGATGGAGCACAGAAAAAGGTTTTGTATTCCTAGTTTTGTCAAATGAAGGTCTATATCCCTGCTGGAAAAAAACATGTAATATCAGTTTAAAGTGTCCAATCTGCTTTTTGGAGCATGACAGCTGGGTTGTTACCAGTCTGACATTGTCTACCAGCACTAAGCAGCTTTATCAAGGTCTAGCTTGATCTAGACCCCAATTTGGTCTAGTTCGAAACTGTACAAAACCAGCTACCATCAGATGTAACATAATATAACAACAGCACAGCTACAATTAGGCTATCATGAAATATTTAGATTTGAAATGATGATGAAAAGTATGAAGATTAATGATCATGATCCATCAGAATGGGTTTAAAGATTACCAAGAAAATATAGATTGTTTTGCAAAACCAAATCATCAATTAAAATACACAGTAATACTTTAGATTGATTTTATATTATTTATACAGGCTTTTGTTAGAGGAACATTCTCATCTACCAGTGGATTTTTTATGTGCTTCCTGAGATCATTTACATGTTAAAGCACGATCACACCCACTATGATGATACCAGGCAAATGAAAACATTTGCAGAATGACAACCTCTGTGGTATTAATCACTGCTATATTTAATTGTCTCCTGATATTTAAAAGAATATAAAAAAACATATTGAACATATTACTCACAGTTTACCCGATACCCCACTTTTACTGACCTCACCCTACATGCAAAAATAATAAAATACAGACAAGAATGCAGACTCAAAAGGGGGCACCTCCTTGTCCTTCATGCCAGCTTTAACTTAATAAACACCACTGACATTTGTTCATGACCTGTATGCAAAGAAACAGCCAGTCACAGTGTAAAGAAGAAGAAATAATGTGCAATGAATCAGGAATAAGACTTAAGGGGGGTGTGGTCAGAGTGTTGTTGCCCCTCTATAGTGCAACAATTCGGAATATCAAACGAGAAAAAGAGGCCACGAGGGAATAGTTATGTTTCATAACACATATGCACCTCTCCCACAGTCCCAGACATCCATGCATGACCCACAATGAGTCGGTTTCTGATCGTTTGTTCCATTTCGATTGCATTTTACAGTATGACGCATGTCCATGAGGCATGTTGAAGAGGAGCACTGCAGAGACGCAACGCACAGAGACACTAAACACGCTACGTGCCAGTATGAATGAAAACAATGCGATGCGACAAACTACAACGCGCTTATTACAATCAAACCAGCTTCGTTTATTATAACAGACGCGTTCTGGTTTGTCGCGTCGCTCTCTTGCAGTTTATATGGGGTGTAAAGCTTAAAACGTCCTTTATAAGGAACCTCGCACGATTTCATCATCCCACAATGGTAAAGCAATATGTGGCACTACTTAAATTATGTAACTACAGTAGTTTTCAATAGAGGTTTGCTGCGGAGGACACCTGTCCTGAGCATCCAAACTGCGGCAGTGCCCAAACAAAGAAATCTCGGCAGGTCGACATGTTTGTGAACGTTTGGAAACGAAAGAGCGTTGAGTCGTGGACACCCTTTATTTACATCGCATGAGTATCTCGCGTGCATATAACAATAACTAACGCCTGTCAAGCAGAGACTGCGACTGCATCACAATCTCCGCGTGCACGCCGATTCGTTAACAATTTTTGTCTTCTTTACGCGTAGGCTTTTTTTAATGCACGCGCCTTGATTGTATTTCCTATTGTATAATGTGAGCGCTAATCACAATGTCAAAGTGCACTTACCCGTTGTTGTTGTTTTTAAAATTCAGTACGCTGTAGTGTTGGCCGATGTGCAGTCAGATCCGCCCTCTCGTACAGTGCGCCTCTGTGATCGCAGGAAGACGCCCCGCCCCTTATCCCCCTCGACCAATCACAATTCAGGCAAATTGTACACGTTCCCTTTTCGAGCCGCTATACACCATGCTGCTCTTGGAATTGAGCATCTTCTAGGTTGTTACACGAGTACCCCACCAGTATTGATGGACAGCTAATGGACACAATGGGCATGTTGATGACAGATGAGAGGCAGGGAGATTCGCCAATCAATACATCAGCAACGGCGCGCTGAATTGGCATTGAATAGATCTGTTTGGGCATCTGACTAGATTACATTGTATCGAGGAACATCAGACTGTCCGATGTGAGACGTGATACCCTTGTAGTTTCCAGTTCTTCATGCGAAAATGCATTTGAAAATCCCCTGAATGTAACCTCATACATTTATGACACCCTTATAAAAATAGGCTGCGAGTTTAAAAGAGCATCAAGTGTTGTGGAAGAACGGAATTCCTCTATTGTGTTGTTTATCCGGTTCTAGAACATGATTAAGTAGCGTTACTATAAAAATATAACAATAATAGGCTTAGTGCAGGACTCCCTTTATTTTTGTAAGTGGGTGTTTCTCTTTCTGCTGGTTTCCTATTACACTGAACCTGTGTTTCCTTTCAGGAGCTATGCTTGCATGAACAGTTCAATGAATTTTCCTTCTTTTTATATATGCTATAGTGGTCTTAAATACATATTGACAGTTTAGGTGGGCCTTTTTTCTGTCTGTCAAAGATTTCCATCTTTTTGATTGGTCTACATTCTGGCTTAAGTATATCCAATTATAATTTACTTATAAAGCAATTTCTTATATTCATAGTTATTTGATGCTGAAAAGATATTTCAAAGGACAGTTATAGTTGGGAGCAAAACAAGAGGTAGCAATGAGCAGAAGGATACATATCATATTTAGACACACACCAACTTCCTGTTTTAATTTAGCAGTCCTGTGGAAATTGGGCAGAGCTTTCCCCCTCTAGCTCTATAGATTGAATCCACTGACATAAATATCAAAGCCTTGCAAAATGAATTTCATTGGCGTTTTCACTGGCAGCAGCATTGCAGAGGTGGTGACATAGAAAAAGAAAAACATTATTTTTGACACCAGAGAAACACAAGGAAATGGTGGTGGTTCTCATTCAGTCAGGCGAGACATGTTTCATAAACTTCAAAAGACTGATGAATTATATTAATTAATTTATTTGGTGTGAATGTGATTATCAGTTATTAAGAGATAAAATCTGCACAATAATCAGTTTATAGTAAGCTAACAATAAATATTCCTACTTAGGATGTTATAATACATATGCACATTCCAAGCTATACCCTTTCTATATACCACATTCCCTATAAATATCTTTCTAGCACATTTATAGTATGGCTTATTACTGGATGTGTTTGGCATGAACCAGTGCCAACTGATCATATATGTTTTATATATATATGTATATTTCAACACTAATTGTACTAGTGATATGGATTATGATCAAAATGGATTTTAGTCATAATCTGTCTAAATCACATTTAACACGTTTTGACCCTATGGCCAAACTGATGATTATATATTTAGAGTAATAACTTATTCTCAAAGGAAAATCTTTACAGTGGATGGCCTGAAAGATATAAACAATGCTTTCAGTCATGTAAACTACTGGCATGTTATTCAGAAGGATTAACCATTATTCCCTGGAATCACTCACTCTGAGGTATTTTAGCTACTAGAGATGAGCTTGGGGTTCGTCCACCTGAGATTTGAAGTTTCCAAATGTCCATTTAAACACTAATAAATCATACTCTGTAGACTTTACAGTGTATTGCTACAGATTGTCCAAGACTTCCAAACAAACAATCATCAATTCAACACAAAACCACACTGTTAAAAAACTGATATGCTAATATAAATCATTACATTTACACCTCAAAATAACAAGTGAACACTTTCGTAAAATTGAACATTTTCAGTGAGAGGCAGGTAAAAACAACAAGCATTGTTAGACCAGCTAACACAAATGTACCAATCTACAGGGACATTAATGATGCCTCTATGTTAGACTTTCTGAGGTAATTAATATGAACCTGAAGTAGAAGGTCTTCAAAACATCCTGCCAACATTGTTGCGGTCAGTCAGGATGTATGCATTGTTTTCCACTGACATGCTGAACAAAAGTTTCAATCTTAACACCCAGGATTAGAGCCATGTCGTTTTTGGATTGAGGAATCATCCTCTACATGATGTTGCACTGGCAATGATAGGCGTCTTGAACACTCCAAATCTAACCTCAGTCCAGCTTGTGGATGGTGAACAGTTCCAATAGGCTCTGCATCCAAAAAACTAGAACTACCTTGATCAGCTATGACTATTTGTTGCTGGTCAGTGTGTGCTGTAAGACAATCAGGGTCATTGTGGCCCATGCTACATGGCCATCTTTCAGAATAAGACCCAGAAGGAGTCTCAGAGGAGGGCTGTAAGGAAGAGTCCAAGAGCTGGAGCTCCATTGCCCCTGACAGACTTTCACTGGACTTTATGGGACTGTCAGCAAATTCATGGGGATCAAGTATCTGGGAAAAATCCAAGAGAAAGATTTAAAGACTCGTATGAGATTCAATACAAATTGATGACTGTAATTTGAAAGTTTGTGAAATACCTCAGAGAGAATGGCTGGCGTTTCTGTCTCCAAAAGGTTGACAGGATGGACCAGTTTCTGGCCTGGTTTGGGTGGATTTGAAGATGCTTCTATAGGGGATGTCACAGAGCTGTAGGCCGGTGGAACCAGCACCATCTGCCTCTGAAGCAAGTGCATTATGGCCCCCATGTCTGTTGACATGCGCTTCTCCAATCTTTGAAAGAAACAAGACAACAAACACAGCTCAAAGTATATGGATAAAGAGTAAAGGATGCCAAGATAACAACAGTACTGTAGCGGGATCTCACCTGTGGAGCTGTCTCTGCATCATTTCCAGTCTATTCTCTACCTCAGTGCAATGACGATGGGTAACACTGTGCAGGACAGTATTGGAGGGCACTGAAGATGAGGGTAAAGACATACTGTGGCTGGGTACTTCCTGGTACTGATGGCCACCACTGTCCCCCCAAAAGCTGAAGATGTTAGAAACCCCCGAAAGAGCTCCTAATTTAAGAGAAGGGTAATGTCAAAATTATGCATTCACTGCAAGGGAAGAGTTCACCCAAAAGTGACCATTTGGTCATTATATTTATACACAACCATGTCGTTCCAAACCTGTATGAATTTTTAAAGAATATCCTGATGACTTTTTTTCATTGGAGCATCAAGCACCATGAGTCTTCTGGAGTCATACAATAGCTTTGTGTGAAAAACCGATAGAAATTTAAGTTGGTATACAATGAAAATCATGGCATCCACTTGAGAGTTCAGGAGAGAAGTAGCGATGTCTGTTTGAATGAATTAATCTGTTTGTTCAGTTCATATAACCAGCCTGAATGATTCATTCATGAATCATATCCGGTTCTTGAATTCTCACTGACTCAATGATCTGGCTGTAATGGTTAACAGCTCACTAGTTTGGAAGATTATCAGTGAATAATGACTTATAGTCATAGATATGAGCTGTATGGGCTACATTAGCAATGTTTTTACAATATGTGACCCTGGACCACAAAACCAGTCTTAAGTCGCTGGGGTATATTTTTAGCAATAGCCAAAAAAACATTGTATGGGCGGTCCAGTGTCACATATTTGTGTGGTGCTTCTGCATCCTTTTGGAAGCTTGAAACCTTCAAAACTTTTAGACCAAGAATGACCACTACCTTTGTTATTTTGTTTTTCACAGAAGAGAGAAGCTTATACAGGTTTGGAACAACATAAGTGTGAGTAAATTTTAATTTTTTCCCCCCTGAATGTATCCTTTAAAGGCTTAGCTCAGCCAAAAAAAAAAAAGAAGAAGAAAATGTAGTCATAATTTCCTCACCCTCAAGTTGTTCCAAATCCATTAGAATTTCATTCATCTGCGAAACACAAAAATATATTTTAATGAACCTTGAAAGATTTATGTTCCTCCACTGAAAGTTCAATTACCCAAAACTTTGATACTTTGATATTTGATAAATCCACATGAATCAAGCAGTTTAAAACAAGTCTCCTGAAGAGACACAATCATTTTATAAACAGATTTAATTAGATTTTTATTCACATAAAAACATTGATCAACACATACATACAGCACATAAAATATGGCAAAACGGAAGCTCAAACATGCTTGCTTGAAATGCGAGAACCAATGATGTTTGTTCTTGTGTCACGCAAGCATATTTGAGCTTCTTGTTTACCATATTTGATGAGCAATATGTGTTATGTGAATAAAAGCTTTTAATTCTATTCATCAATACAATGTCTCTTCAGAAAACTTGGACCACTCAATTCATATGGATTTCTTTTATGATCTTTTAATGAAGCATCAAAGTTTTGAGTAATGGAGTTTCAATGGAGGGACAAAATCTCTCAGGGTTCAGCAAAAAAATATCTTCATTTATGTTTCAAGGATGAAGGAAAGTCTTATGGGTTTGGAATGACATGAGGGCGAGTAAATGATGACAACTTAAGTTTTTGGCTGAACTATTTTTTTTTCTTCTATTTTGTCTTAGTCCACTTCTTTCAGGTAGGTGAGCTAATACATAACACTTATATAATACAGTACACCTACTGTAAATTAGACAGTAAGCCAGTTTTAACAGGAAAGAGATTAGTCACAAAAGCTCACATTTTCAGAATCCTACCTGACAGTGCATTAAAAGAGTTACTGCTGTTGTGGTTCTTGTCACTGTTAGCATTGCTGATACTAGTGAAATGGCTCTGAGAGCAGTCTACTATTGCAGTGGACTGCAGAGTCTCTTCCTCTTCATCACTGCTGGACTGGGAGGCAAAAATGTCTGAGTCCCGATGAGCAGCTTGTCTGTCCTTGTGCTGCTTGCTTAAATTCTGTGTTCTGAAAGTCGTCCTATTGAGTTTTTCTTCCGTCTTCTCTGTATCTGCTACTAAGAGGAATTGCAGTAGAAATAAGATTCAAGAATCTGAAAGAAGCTTTCACACAGTGTTTGCTCTTACCTTGTGGGATAGAGTTTCTTTTGGACTTGAAGAAAAGCTTTGCTCTTCGTGTGTGATGGTCAAGACAGCCATGGTCAGAATCGTCAGGGTCACTGCTCATTGACCCAGCTTTAGTGTTAGTCTGTTCAGAAGATAACCAAATGAGTGTGTTTTTGAACATTTGTCTTTATGTACTATTAAAGTTACACAGACATGTGCGAGCTTACATCTCTCAAGTTAAAGGTGATCTCCAGATTGCTCCAGAAGTAGTCTGAGAACTCTGGATACATGTCCAAGACCTCCACTATATCATCTCTGTGGATTTTATGCAGGTCACAGTACGTCAGTGCTCTCACATCAGACCTTGACTTTCCAGGACGTGCATATAAATTAATGGGCTCTCCAAATATATCGTTCTTGCCTGCAGGATAAGCCGAAGGAAGAGATAATGACTGTAAGCTTTAAAGAATGCTCAAAATGTGTCCCATAATGCATATTTCCTCAGTTAACAGACAGTTAACACTTCGAATTCATACTTCCATACAATTCTTATTATTTTTGCAATAGAAATATATGGCAGAAATAGTAAGAATAGTATGCAGTTTCTAGTATGTAGTATGCTATTCCAAATGCATCCTTTGCATTATCAACAGATGGCACTGCTTGTCATTAAAAGAAACATAGCACAAAAAATAACAAAATGTCCACAAGACGGAGCCACACAACAACAGCTTTCTCATTGAAGTCTCAAAAGTACCAAGAATTCTTGTACTTTGAGTGAATAAAATAAAAATGACAGAACATTATTGACATGTTTGCAGTTTTATTCTGCATTCACAAGATTAGTCATAATCCAAAAATAAAATAAAAACTAATTTAAATGATTTTGTTTTATTATTTCTCCTCAAGTTTATATATCTAAAAGTACTCTAATGGTGAGTAGAAAAAAAGATCACTGCAATAGAATGTATAAATATTCTACATAATATTTTACAAATATTCATAATATTTTCATTTAACAGATCTTTAAAGATGAAAAGATTTTTTGCTTTTATATTTTAGGAATGTTTTTTTGGAGAGGGGGCTCCATGGAAAACCCCCGAAATATGCATATGATCACAATGAGATGCTGAGTACTCTTCCATTACCTAGAATGGCCACTACCACATCTCCCTTTAAGATCTCAATGGAGCCACGAGAAATGAAGTATAGCGCTGAAATCACATCACCAGCGTGGACCAAGGTGTCTCCTGGTGGAGCATGTGTAGTCTTGAACTTCATAGCCAAAGCACGTAAGCAACCTTTACTGGAGCCCTTGAAAGCTTTACAGTTCTGTAGCAATGTACGATTTAGATGCAAACAGATGTCTGCCTGTAAGCACTCTGGGAACCCCTTCAGCACCTGCAATGTGATAAAACATAGGTTAATGTGATAAATGGTACCACGTTATGTGCTCTGTCATGTGTGCATGCAAAAAATAAACAGAGTATGCCCAGGTGTTCTGTATGTGGCTCTGTGACTCACAGCATTCATGTCAATGCCGTTAGTGTAGGACCAAGCATGCTGAAAATACTCCTCCAGTTTTTGCCTGAGTGGGTTGGGGATCTGGTGGAAACGGATGAACTCCCGAACCCGTAGCATCTGAGTGTGGTAACGCGCGGTGCCAGAGTACAGCCTCTGGATGATGGCTGACACATTTCCAAATATGCTAGCATACATTAGCGCTGTGAAGAAAACAACAACAACAACAAAAAACATTTTCTTTCAGAGCAGTGTGTTAATCCACACGATTTATCCACTTTAGTCCTCAAAATGCCCCCAAAAAGGTATGTCTACTAATCATGTTTAGTGGGGAAGTTTACTATTATTGGCTCTTTATCAGCAAGGCCTTTATAAGACCATAGAATTTTATTGAAAGTTTAGACCAAGGGTTCTTAAACCAAAGACCCCCAAATATGATAATCTCCTTGTGAGGGACCCCTTCCTAAAATATAAAGGCAGCTATTTATTTTCAGGCATAAAGACTTATTTATACTGTGCATGAAAATATTAGAATATTAATAATAAATAAAAAAAATTGCATTGAATAATTGAAAAATATATTATGTGTGATATTCAGCATGCTTCTGTTTTTCAAATAAAACCAAATAATCAACACATAAAATGAAGTCAACAGACAGACACATAGAGTGGTTGAAGCTCATGTGCATTAAATATAAAATATGTTTACTCTAACTGTAGATAGATATTTATGAAGGACATATTTTCCCTCATTTTTTAAAGACTTTGAAGCATGCTGCCATATAAAACTCTGTGTGATCGCTTTAAATATCGCCTACTGATAGCGAAAAAGTTTTATCTGTAGTCTTTTTATTTAATGTTGAAAATATCACCTAATAACATAAGTATGAAATGAATGAATATTAATATCATAAATATGATAATATCATAAATAAGTCGCTTGCATTTTTTAAGATTACTGGCTGATTTTTGCAACTTAACGAACGAAACTCCATTAACAACTAGCCACTCTAAGGAGGCATTTGTATGTATTACGACCAGCAGGGACCCAATCCACCAATCAGAGAGGTTCCTGAATTTCAACCGTTTTTTTAATTAGTTAATGTAGAATATCTTGTGTGAATATTTTACCCACGGGATCGGCACCTATGGACTGGAGTAATGGAATAAATTATAGGAATAAAATTACATTTTAAAATATATTAAAACAGAAAACTGTTATTTTGATATGGTATTTTGATCAAACAAATGCAGCCTAAATAAATAAATGCAGAGCATACAGGACATCTTTAAAAGACATAAAAAAAAACGTACAGACCCTAAACCAGGGTTCCTCAAATCTTGCCCTGGTGGGCCGCTGCCCTGCAGAGTTTAGCTCCTGATCAAAACACACCTGAAACAAACTAATCAAGGTCTTCAGGATCACTAGGAAATCACAGGTAGGTGAGCTTGATCAGGGTTATTATTATTATTATTATTAATAATAATAATAATAATAATAATAAATAGTTTTTTTTTACTTTCAATGGACCTCATACAGTAGCACCCAACTGCAGTTCCCAATTTGGAAAAAATCCATTTTGCTGACATAAGAAAAAACACTAACCTCCAATGAGCATGACACAGATGGTAAAGATCTTCTCAGAGTTGGTTTTTGGGGAGACATTTCCAAAGCCCACACTGGTGAGGCTGCTGAAGGTGAAGTACAGGGCAGTGACATATTTATCTTTAATAGAGGGTCCTGATGAAGGATTTGTGATATTATATGGCTTCCCCAGCTGTTCACCCAAAGAATCAAGCCAACCGATCCGAGACGGGCCGCTCCTTTCCACATTCCCAATAGCATACCAGATGCAGGCCAGCCAGTGGGCAATTAGTGCAAAGGTGCACATAAGAAGAAAGAGCACCGCGGCTCCATACTCGGAGTAGCGATCGAGTTTACGTGCCACACGCACTAATCGCAACAGCCGAGCAGTCTTCAGTAGGCCAATCAGAGTTGTTGTCTGTCAATACATGAAAACAATGAGCACTGAAAAGTTAAGAGATGGTTAGCAAAAGCTATAATAACATATTAAAAAGAATTGTTCACCCAAAAATGAAAATTTACTCACCCTCAGGACATCCAAGATGTAGATGAGTTTATTTCTTCATCGGAACAGATTTGAAGATATTTAGCATACATCACTTGCTCACCAATGAATCACCAATGAATGAATGGGTGCCGTCAGAATGAGAGTCCAAACAGCTGATTAAAAACAACACAATAACCCACACGACTCCAGTCCATCAATTGATGTCTTGTGAAGAGAAAGCTGTGTTTGTAAGAAACAATTCCATAATCAAGGCATTTTACATTTTAACCGTTGCTTCTGACCAAAATACCAGTCCATAATCCATAACGCTTCCAGTGGGAAAAAAAGCATCCACTGCTGTCCTCTCACATCAAAATCCACTGATGTTTTTTTAGAACTGTTTTTGCTTGTAAACAGTGCTTGATCTGTGCATATTTCTCTCTTGATTCAGACGAGACAACTTTTTCAATAAAGAAAGCAATATTATGGATAGAGGACTGGTATTTTAGCCAGAAGCAACCGTTTGAAGTTAAAAATGCTTTGATAGATTTTTAACAAAGACTCTCTTGGACTCCCATTATTGTGATGTTTGCTGTTTGTGATGTTCTCATTCTGATGGCACCCATTCACTGCAGAGGATCCATTGGTGAGAAAGTGATGTAATGCAAAATGTTTCCAAATCTGTTTTGATGAAGAAACAAACTACACCTTAGATGACCTGAGGGTGAGTACATTTTCATTTCTGGGTGAACTATTCCTTTAAAAATCAAAATTACCCATAAGTTTACTCACATCTTCTACAGAGCGATAAATGAGCAAGTCGAAAGGAATGGCAGCCACCATGTCAATGAGGAACCAGCCTTTAAAATAGTGGATGGCTATTCGGCCGGGCTGGCTGACCACTTCATCGTTGCTATTCACGTAGGTTGTGCGAAAGTTAATCACAATGTCCACTACGAACATGATATCCACCATGAGGTCCACCACGTTGAGTGGACTGCAAGAGTAGCCACAGCGCTGCATGGCAGCCTCTTCCTCGTCGCTGAGCAGGAATGCAGCCGAGTAAGGTGTGACGATTGCCGTATAGATGACCAGCAGCAAGATGACCCAGTCCCAGACTGCCTTGAAGGGGCTGTAGTGTAAAATGGTCCATTTGTGGATTCGGGGAGCCTGGAGCTTATACTCAGGGAGGACATCTGCACCTAGAGACAGCACCTGAGGAGAAATATACTTCACAATGAGAGGTCTTTTCAGATTATGAGATGAATTATGCAACTGCTGCTGAAAATCTGCATTTGGACAATTACAATGACATTATATATGATTATTTTTTAAAAACAAGCTTTAAACCATCAATGAAGATGTCCTGGTCTTGAGAATGAAAAAAGAAAAAAGAAAATTAGTTACATTAAAGCTTAATGTACCCAACCGTTCAGAAGCGTATTTTTTTTATTAATTTAAAAATTATTTTTTTTTTTTACTTACTATTCATCAAAAGCAACAATTGGGGTTTTTTTTGTTTTGTTTTTTGATAAGAATTTGATAATAATAAAAAAAACTTTTCTTGATCACCAAATCAGCATATTAGTATGATTTCTGAAGGATCATGTGACACTGAAGACTGGAGAAAATTCAGCTTTGCGTCACAGGAATAAATAACATTTAAAAAATATATTCAAACAGAAAACAGTTATTTTAAACTGTAATAATATTTCACAATATTACTGTTTTACTGTATTTTATTTGTATTAAATAAATGCAGCCTTGGTGACAGATAATTCTTTTAAAAAACATTTTAATGGTTTGGTCAGACATTGTGATCAGTGTCCAAAATTTGGAGGGAATGACTTTCTCATTAAATCTACGGATGGACAAATATTTGCAATACTGGAATAAATGGGTTGTTCACAACTTCATGACATGTTTATTGAACACTGTATGATCCGACATCTGTGACCAAGTAATTTTACTAGTTTACTAGTTCTGCATATTTTCTCAATGTTTATAAAATTAATTATTAATAATTTTAAACCAAAGACCCCCCAAATATGATAATCTATGATAAAATATGATAATAAAATTAATAATAATGTTTAAAAAATGTCACATTTCATAGTCTAGCTGGTAAAACCAGAAACTGTTCAGTCCATTTTCCATGTTTTTCCAAAGCTTTTCCAAAGCTTGCTGTAGGACAGAAATATTATCACATTTCTGACAGGAACTGAGTGGGCCGTAACTCAGTGTGGGTGAAGTAATGAAGCCATGTTTAGTCTCCGAGATATCCACTAAGTACACATCACTGCAGGGAGATCATTAATGCATTACATTGTAAACACCCTCTTAGGCGGCAAACTTCATCTCATTATATTTTCCAGGCCCCTAAAGAGGTGACCAACGTTTAGTCATTTGCTCAAAGCTTTTGATTATTCTTACTTGTAATCTACTGCCTTGATTATACTAAAGACACCAACACACAAAAAAATATTCATAGAAGTACTTCAAAGTATTCTTCGTAGCTCATACTGTATGAATATACTGTACGTGTTTAAGTACCTCAAGATTTATTAAATGTAAATACAAGTTCAAATGATTTCCTGTTTTAAGACAGCCCTGAACTTAGTCTACCAAAACCAGTGAGGCAGAATCATTATTAATTTATGGTAATCTAATATTTATCTTGCTCATTATGTACCATTAGGATGAAGAAATACATCTGCAGCAGACTGAAAAGCAAGTGGGAGAAAAAAACAGATCTTCTAGACTTAATTTGTTTATGGAAATCAAAGTTAGGCTATTTTCATAATCCAAAGACCTCATCCCACTAATGCTTGTACTCACAAATAACGCCTGCACTAAACAGCTCATAAAATAAAAATCTTAGTTAGCTTCCAGATTAATTATGTTTAATTCATGCATCTATTTTTGTAACTAGGTTAAAATCTATGAAGAGGCTGGTGTACTTTCCATCCATGACTTGCCTCAGCACTCATTAACTTGTGGAACAGCAAAAAATGGTTAGACAATGTAGCGAATCAGCTCATGGGGAAATATGAATAATTAATCATAACTAGTTATAATTAATTATAAATATTTAGATCCACTGTAGATATTTACTTGACCTCTCAGGGTCAACTGTCTGTCAATTCTAAGAACGTTAATTTCCTGGTTAAGGGAAATTACTTTCTTACTGTACAACTCTACACAGAGCCTGCAGCATAAATCTGCATGATTAGGGACGCCAGTTATGAGTAAACAATGAACAACGTCAAGTGTTCAAATGAAAAATTGTGTTTTTGATTGGTCCAGACGCTACAACAATAACTACTGACCCTCTAAACTAATAATCCGCATAAGTAAATAAATATTTCAACCTCAAAGTCTCTGCCACTCTTACCTCTCTGCTCTCCTGGCCAAGAATGGGACTCGTCTTGTCCCAAAAGCGGAGGCCCTGAGAGCCTTGTTTGCAAGGCATGTGTATCTGAAATGAAGGCTGAGGCTGAACAGAAGGAGCACAGGACTGGAAGAGCTTGTTCAATGGCTTCAGCACCAAGGTCAGAATCATGATCCACAAATAATATTCCGACCGCCACTGCTCAAGGCTCAAGTGGCAGAATCCCTGACTCCTCTAGCATTCCTGGAGAACGGTGAGCACAGGAGCTGCTCTCCTTAGGATCCAGGACCCTACCACCACCTGATAGCTATATCTCTGCTTATTTCTTGCTTACTTCTGCTCTCTCCATTTAGTGGTGGTTTCTCCTGTATCTTGTAGTCCATCTGCTATGCTCTGTGCTATGCAACTATTGCTTTAAAACACTTTGTTAAAAAATGAAAAAGTTTTGAGGTAAAACCATCAATGTCCTGTTTGTGCTACTGCTCTGAGAGAGATGCAGAATAGCTGCCAGTCACTTAAATATACATACAGAATGAGAGAGAGAGAGAGAGAGACCATTGGAAGCAGGCGCACCAAACTCTTGTGAGTAAACTGTTGCTGGGGCAGAATTTTTCCCATAATGTATCACATCTCAGCAAAAAAATAAAAATAAACATTAGATATTTAATTTAGTACAACAGTTCTCAGACATTTTGATTTGAATAATCTGCTGTAACAAGTTGTTTTTAAACTTTTTTATTAACTGGGAGTGTTACTATATGAAATTAATTAATAGCCCTTATCTGGGCAGATTTGTTATTAAGCTACTTACAAGAAAGAAGTTGTTCCATTAAGAACTACAACTGCACATAGGGGACCAAGGTAAATGCTCTGCTAATTTTGGATGGCAATCATAAGGACAATGCTATTAGAAAAGTGTTAATTTTTGGCAAAAATGAAATGGTGTGATTTCTTCTCTTTGAAGCTCATGCGTTAAGCTGTTCTGCAAAGATGCTAATTGAATTTTATATAGTAAAAGGCTTTTCTTCCTTGATTTATTAATATTCAGAGTGTAGGAGGAGTTAACTGTGAGACCTTCAATCAATACTTCAATTCTCTTGAAGATGAATCTGCAGAAATGTGCATTATCATTATTGAATTTCTGTCACCTCAGATAATAAGTCACACCACAATCCTTCTGTGTTCCTCATCTCAAGGCCTGATTCACCCTCAGTCCTGATTATACAGCATCATCTCACATGAAATTACAAGGTCGCTGAGTCCAAAGAGCACCAGTTGATCTCTCTGATTTTTTATTTATACTCCTCATCACCACAGACAGTTGATCTGTAGAAAAAAAACTTGTGTATTTGTTGCAAAAACATACAACACCTCTTTACAACACCTCAACTCATTCCAAGCTTGTTACAGGACAAGTACCGATTATCTGTTCATTTCTTATTCTTCTGTTTTCTATCTGGGAGCTTATAGAAGCCCCAAAAAAGCATTCTACTCATGTCATTTGGGTCAGATTTTCTAGATGAACTTTTCCTACAGATTTAATTGAACCTTCCCTTAAACATAACAAGAAGTGAGGATGTGCCTTTGCACATGAGGCATGCTATACATCTTTGCTACAATGCCATTTTTTGCATGCCACAGGTGTCATTGGTGTAAAAATGATAGCTTTCAGCTATTTTTTAATGAAACGGGGGTAAAAATAAAATCCACTTGATAATTCAAATCTGCCACTTGTGTTTACATATAATAAAATATTGTATTTCATATCATTTTCAATTACCTACGTCTCCCAAAATTGGAGATAAATACATTTGGCTCCCGTGGCATGACTACACTGTCCTTGTGAATTAGCTGTGTGTGAGTTTGCCAGGGTGAAGGGGTGGGTAGGGGTGGACATGTCAGTCCAAGGCCAGTGTGAGATGAGAACACAACAGGGGTAGAAAAGAGAGAGGACTTGAGGGTGAAGGAACCCGCCTTTGGACTCAAAATAGCCTTCTGGGACGGAACTGCAATGAAGCTCCAACAAACCATAAAAAACTGTTATCCTCACTGGCTCCTTGTTCACTGACTCACCAGACAATTTACAGCTTTGATCTACAGCCAAGACATCTCTCAAGTAAACATGCTTTTAATTTATCAGATTCGAAGAGCCATATGTTGGCAAGGAAATCAATGTTTTGACTATTTGAGAATTCCAGTAGTTTTGATTGCTGAATGTTTTTCAGGCATCCCACTCTATTTAATCAATGAATTTGCAAGATGCTTCCAGACATTCCTGACTTATTGGAAAAGGTTTTTTTTTAAATATTCTAAATCACAATAAAAAAATTTAGAGCCATTTTAAGATTTTATTCATATTTATGACTTTTCCAGGTCTAGAAAATCACCTCACATGTCCAGGTCATTCAAGACAGTGGGAACTTCTTCAATTTCTTCAAAGAAAAAATTAAAACAGTTGTTGAGGGGGTGAATAAAAACAAAACAAGACAAATATACACAGATTTTTAGCTGTTTTTGCTTATTTAAAAGCTTGTTTTTTTCCTATTTTAAATAATTTATTTTGTAAGTTTGTAGGGTAAGTCTGATTTGACTTTCCCTATTTAACATACAGTATTATTAATTTATTCCATATTTGATTATATATGGTAAACATAATTGAAAAAATGGAACGAAATGGGTATCACTGAGTAATTATAAGTAACAAATCATTTGCAAACTACTAGTTTATAGTTAATTCATAGTTTATAAACTGTAGTAATTACATTATTAGACTCTATACAAATAGTGAGTTCTTCATTCATTATCACTGTAATTAACACGATTA